TCATTAAATCCAATTGGAACTATGAATATCAATAAGTATGGTACAATGCTAACCATAATGAGAACACATTTAGATTCAAACGCTGTCCATGAGAAATACCTCACTTATTTGACTGACATGCTAAAACTCATGCTAGGCATCTGTTCAAGTTTCACCAAGAAATAGGCTCGATTACACTCGATGAATTTCATGATCTTATCCCAACAATTAGTGGTACAGGATTGCGTGTGTGTGTGTATGTGTGTGTATGTGTGTAAGGAGAGCTAAGCGCCAGTTCATGAACTCGTGTATTTCTCAGACCCGCTCCCCGTACAGTTGCACCGCACTCTCTCAGTGACAGACTGGCAGCTTTCCGTTAACGATAGACATCTGTCTGATTGGGGATTTTATAATTTCTGCATAGAAATTAAAATCATCAAATTCGTGTTATGCATCACACCATGTGTTCATATTGTGCTCCCGCATTTTGATAACGATACAACTTTCCGTTTGACACAATCAAACCCGTTCTATTATCTTTGTTGATCCAGGAACAGAAGCTCTCGACAGAACAAACAAGACAGAAGACAAAAGTGAGCACCAATTCCTCCTCATTCTCTCACGCCTAATTGGTGATCTGTTTCTGTGCACCTCGAGGAGATTTTATTTCTGTCTGTCCGTCTATGTGGTTTTATTTTTCTGTGTTTTCACCCGAAAACGTACACGCTCATCGGATGTGATTATTTATTTGCGTATAATAATAATTTCTTTCCCGCCTACTCTCATATTATATATTTTTTATGAAACTAAACTTTTTATTGTCCTGTTTAAATTTCACATAAACCAACAAAAACAGAAATCGAAAGGAATCAGTGCAACTTGATCTAGACTCCCGTTTGATTGGAAGCACTTTTGGTCACGCTTTCACACATTCTTGAAAATCACGTGCTAACCCGGAGGAGTTAGAACAATTTCGTTTGCTTGATGTGCAACTCTTGATTACCGTTTGGTTGAACAAAACACCGGGCATTCAGAAGTGACACTGAATGATTTTTCTATTGTTATAATTCTACAGAGCGATACCTGGTCAAGGAAAGCTGTTTATTACGAATCACAGTCAGTGTCGGTAGATTTGCATTCAAAGAACAAAATACGTCACTTGAAACGAGTCTTCAGAACTCCCATACGCACAAAGGATGGTTAATGTACCGGTTCACTATTAGATGCGCATTATTATAGTTACCATACTGAACAGTAGCAATTCGCTCCAATAGGTCTTATTCAATTTTGACTGTTAAAAGAAACCGCCAATCACATCTTTTTGCGAACTACTCACCAGTATGAGTAATATCTCATACAACTTGTACAGTTAGTTACTTAATAATCATGCCCCGCGTTCTAAAGATTCAGTGCAGATATCAGTGCAACTTAATGAACACCCCGAATAAATTACACTCTGTGTAAGCTCGGTGAAAAAGTTATGCCATTTAATCTTTAGACCTTAGATTAGGAAATTTGTTCCTTATTCATACACTACTGAAAGACCTTGGAAGAACTGAATAGCTGTTTAGCCCTTGATAGGAATCATTGGTAGTGTAAGCAATGATTCTATAAGCCCGGACGTCGAAGGTTGAGGACGGATTGGTTGGAATGAACAAGTGGTTTCGTATTACCAGTACAGTAGATGGAATTTAAAATAGCGCATTGAGATTAACGACAGTTGTGATCCCGACTGCTGTACGCTTCGTGGGGAATAAGCTTTACTTGTCCTCTGTATGTCACCAGACTCAGCAGGGTGGGATTTTAGTGTGTTTGGAATACGTGTGTGTGTGCGCGCGCGCGTTTGTGTGAGTACGTGCCGCAGATGAAAACAAGAAGGAAACAAATCACATAATGGTGCTGTATGTTTATCACCGACTTATATTCCCACGATTCCTTAGAAAGGCTACGTTAGACGGCACATGTTCAGAGTTATTTTTTGATCTGACCGAATTTCTGACATAATTTGTGATTTGTGATTTGTGCTTCCAATCGATTGTTGAAGTATTCTCCAACAGTTGGTGGACGTAATTGATCGAACAACCGAGAAAAAAATGAAGTCTAGCTTCACGCGAAATCTCGTAATCTATTGCGATAAACATTTTTAAAACGTAAGCGCACAACGCATGCGATGATGAATGCCCGAAACCGAGTATCAAACGGTGTTTCCACTTATCAGGGTCCCTGGCCGTAAGGGGCCTCCCATACCAAGTTTTGAGGTTCTTACCCGGCCATCCGTACCTTAATTTAGTGTCAGACGACAATGTTACCCTCCGGTCTAAGATCATACTTATCCGAATGGAGCTTTGTGAAGCCCGCAATGACCAAGTTCACTTACTGCTGGAAAGCCCTGAAAGCACTTTAAGGCTATATGTTTTCATTCTTGTCGTTAATTATCACGAATGCATTTTATGCAATCCGATTTGGTTTCGGGCCAGAGCATGAACAGTATTTGCATAACCAGTAGTCGAACCGCTCACGAGACCCCAGACATCGGCTTTCGGAATATCGTTTTCCTTATCACTCAATTATTTGTCACTGCTGTGAGATGCGGAGTGATTCAACATACGAGATCCATTTCCTAATGCAATACTTTTCAGCCTTGTCTTATTTCAATGAGCGTTTTAAATATTTTGAAATTCTGCAAGAAAGTTCGTTTGGTCTTTCCATGTTTTTCAAATTGTTGTTTGGCAGAGTAAAGTCTTATGTTGAAATTGTGGAAAGTTCAGTGGCCTCGCTAGGATTCGAACCCACGAATGGATGCAGCTTACGCATTGGCATAGCACACGCTCTATGAGTTGAAAGCACTGATCTTTTCACATTCGAATCATGCGTGGGTTCGAACACCGCCGAGGCTACTGAACACTAACAACTTTTCGTGTTTATTGATCACACCGTTCAATTTCTCGCTCATCGTGACACTCTGAAGTGATAGTCGTTGAAGCGCTGGTGACGGGTTGAAACATTTTACCGGTAACTGTTTTCATAGTAAAACGAGAATAAAGCAATTTTCATGTGACAGAAAACGACTATGCAAAACTGTTGTAAATGCGATTAGCTCTGTGCTCTCACACGGGAGAACTCCTTTCATGACGTAGAAGAATTCAACTGACAACTTTCTGTCTCCTCTGGTTCCAATTTTCTATCTACTTTTTTCGATTCCCCGGAAAACATCAACCCTGTTTCTCCGACTGAGGTTCTCAAAGTTTTAAAGCAACTTAAGTCAAACAAAGCCCATGGACCGGAATCATTAGCCCCACTTTTATTGAAAACCTGTACCAAGCACCTTGCAACACCAGTTGCAGAGTTGTTCAATTTGCATATGTCCTCCGGAACAATCCCTGATTGCTGGAGGAATGCCCGCATAAGATCTATTCCCAAGAAGGGTTCTTCAAAATATCGACCGATCACATGTACCTCAGCCCTGTTGAAAGTCTTTGAAAGAGTGCTGTTGAACCGCTTGGCTACCCTCTCTGATGTTCTTGCTCCTCTCCAGTTTGGTTATAAACAAGCTCTTTCGACTGTTGACGCTGTCACCTATGTTGTCCATTCTGTGACCCCAGTTTCATATAAGAGTGTCGGAACTGTTCGCCTTATGATTCCTTGACTAGGCGTACGCCTTTAGTTCGCTTGACCGTTGCATTTTCATTCACGTCTTGCTGATTGCAGCTTGGCCTCCGATGAGTAAAACATTCTTGTAGACTACCTCTCTTTTAGGAAGCAATTTACCTCATGCAATGGTAAAACGTTGTCGTCTTCTCATGTTAATTTTGGCTTTTTTCAGAGTGCCATTTTGTCTCCTTTCTTTTCCCCCCTTTACATAACCAACCAGCCTGCCCCTACCAAATTTATTTTCTGTAAGTATGCTGAGGTTGTGGTGATTGGGTTCCCCTCCAACACTGATGCATCTTTACACCAACTTCAAGGCAGTCTGAACGATGTTTTTAGTTGGTCTCTACCCCAATCACTCATGCCTAATGTTTCCAAATGTGTTGGCATTCCCTTCAGCCTGGCTCGAGTTAGCAAACTACCTCTAATGATTTACCAGACCTCGTCGTTAACAGTCATAGCATTTCCAAAGATGACTTTGTTAAATACCTCGGATCGTTCTATCCCACAATGTCTCTTGGAGTAGACATGTGCGGAACGTTTACAACAGGGTTCGTGAACTTTCATTTTATGCTTTCCGGCTTCAGAAGCTTGCTGTTCCCCCAAAAGTAATTTTCAAATTCGTGGTCGCGTGCATCCTCCCTCATTGGCTGTTCTGTCCCCCTGTATTTTTTACCGACCTAAAAAAAGGTTTCATATTCATTTCCTGATCCATAAGAAATCAAATCCCCGATGTAGTGGCACAACCAGAAATGTCATAGTCGATTTTCTTGTGTGCAAGCATATCGACGCATGTGAAATAATAGCCGACAGAATGTTGAACAACGAAGATTAGTGCTTGCACAACGAACTTCTTAAATCCATATCGAACCTCCGCACCCGTCCCCATTATAAGCTCCCTCCCGTACACACGCACCGCCACATACAGAAACAGCATCATCCCTTTTCTTGCCCGCATTTTAGTGAATCGGTCACCAATTATTACAGGTCTAGTTGAACATTTCATGAGTAAGTTTATTTATTCATTTTAATCTGTCACTATCGTCTTCTTGCTTGCAGTTTGGCGTCGTTTTTGTTTACCGTACTCACACTCGGATACGATCCTTACCCCCTCAATTCCACTTTATTCCACTTTATTATCGTGGAAAGTCACTGAAAACTCGCCCTTCGGGTGCATAAAGCTTACTTTGACTTAACTTGACTCGCCCTATAGTTCACCAAAGCAGACCACAGATAGTTCTGATTTTGCATACTCCCTATTTGTCATACGAGTTTTGATCTCTACTTGGGTCGTAAGCGGTTCGTTTGTCATGTGCCCAACAACAACAACAACAACAATAATAATAATACAAACGTTCCTATCCTTTGTTAATATGCAGATCGGCAATAAACCGGTGGAAAACCGTGAACCACAAAATGATGCGTTTGTTCGAAATCTGTTGGATTTGGAAGAGAAGTTGGATGGCAGTACAAATTCGGACATGTCACGAACTCCGTGGACTAGTATGGGAGACATGGTCGATGGGGACGATGCTGTTCGTGTAAGTGATCCTTGATGTTCATGCTTTTCAGCATCGGTTCTCGATCATCTGTTAGACAGATTTGAAATGATGGTTTACTCCAAGTATTGAGAAGGAAAGAATATAGACCGGACCCGGAGTGTTTTGTGCACAAACTGTTTCCGTATCGCTCAGCTTAGGTTAATGATATACAAGCGCTATAGACAGTTCAGTCATTTCATTGTCAGTAGGTGATCAATCAGAAGGGGTCCGTGTTAATAATCCAGGATAAAATATAGATTGATGATCAGAGCTTTGCACCAAACTGATCAGTCAAAAAGCTCACACACAGAGATGGGGGGACACCTAGCAGTCGAGTATCGTGAGTGATGGCCTACGTATAAATTGGTAGTTGCAAAGAATCAGGGAGTTTACGGGCCTAAAATATATATATCTAAATAGTTTTCGAAATACTTTTAAACCTACTTCATGTTCCACATTTTCTACATAAACAAATCATCCATACTGACCAAGTTTTATACATCGATGGATATTGGAAAACCAAGTGCACTTTGTAATCTTGACTTTGGTACGTTGATTTACCTTGGAAAATTTGTCGTTGGGAGTGTGAGGAGAACACAACTTTATAACAGACCGATTTCAATTGTTCATAACTGATTTGAAAAACCCCCACAGTGACCTTCCGTTGCGTTCGGGATTGTCTGAACTTCAAAATTGTCCCGTTCATGAATTATAGCTCTTCTTAATTCTAGGATTGTGTGAAATCCCTTTCCACAATCGTGAATCAGCCACACAAACGGACCTAAAATCAATTAATATTAGATTAAAAGTACCCGGTAGAACTTTTTATTTCTTGAAGAACTCGATCATTTACCTGATGTATTATATATAGCAGGTGCTATTCTCATCTCTATGTTTTGAATAACATGCGCAGCCGTTTTCACGGTCTTCGGCCTCAATAAGATATGATTAAACGGTAATCATTTAAAGTTCTTCTGTACAGCGCTGCAACCAAGAATCAGTGTAACTGAAACAAGACGCGCCAACTTTTGCCAGTCGGAAGTCAAATTCCTTATTCCTAAACAATGGGATTAAACCCGGTCCGTAAAAGTCCAAAGCGGTTGTGAAAATACCTGTCCTAATTGACGTGATGCCACGGAATGACCAACTATCGTAACAGATTTCAACCAGAACAAGTGATATGAATGCAGCGCTATGGAAGCATGAAACGGTAAACAACCGACCAAGTGGTTTTTGAAATCCCCTAAGCAGTTTGGACTACGTCGGGCGGTTAAAACCTTCTCAACTAAGAATTCGTAGGATTACACCAGAATAATTGTGATTTTAAACAGATCTTTATTTATTTTGTGGGACACAGTCGTTGCACCGGAATGAGACAACGAATACCCTCGTTGCGTAATGGAAACAAATAGGTGCAATGATTCTTTCTTTTTCTCTCTTTTTTACTTCCTTTTATCGAAAATTTCAAAGATACAATTTTCAGGAATGGTGAAATGGCCAATCAAAGAGCTGCTATTCAACGCACACACAATAGGGAAGTCAGGCAGTGTTGGTGGGATTCGAACACACACGTCCTCCGGGGTGATAATTTGGTGACGTTACCATCGGACCACCACCACCACCGCCCCATGATGTTCGAACTAAACAAATTATATGATGAAGAGCAGAACAATACGGTCCATGCAAAACAAATATCCATGCATAGACACCATCTACGCTTTTGTACAGCGCACGCTCTACCAGCTGAGCTACAAGACCACACCGATAGCACTGATCTTTTCACATTCGAATTATCCATCCAACTTACAGAGGTATATGGCATCCACCAGTTAGCATGTAAGCTGATTGCCCTGATAAGCCTTCTTTAGAATTCAACGGAGTCTATCGAATAAACATCTAAGGCAGACTGAAGTTTTATGTTGAAATTATAAAAAGTTCAATAGTCTCTGTAAGTTGGATGAATAACTCAAATGCGAAAAGATCACTGCCATCGACGTGGTTTGTAGCTCACCTGTTAGATCCAGTATTAAATATATAGATATATATATCGTAATAAGTAGTATGTGAATGAAATATTCTACAAAGACCATCAGGTCACGTTTGTTGCGGTTAGTAGCATCTAACCCACTTACAAAACATCTAATCATAGCATTGATTCTTCAATGGACTGGCTCTGAAAAAGCTGTCTATCCAATAGTCACCCAATGTTATAAACAAGGCTATTTTGACGAATATATATCTATATAATAGTAGTAAGAAAACAGGTAAAAGGACCATATGAAATGTGCTTGACATCCATGCAGACTTAAGGACCCTACTGTTAGCCTATGGCAGAAAACATCACTATGACACCATCTGGATCATCACAAATTTTACGTTTATTCCCATGCCCAGTAGACCAAAGTCAACGTATTTCTCCATTCTACCATGAGGCGGTTGGATTGAATGATTCTTAACCCTGTAACGGGTATCTAGTCCTTCAAAGATTGCGTCATTTCTCTACTCGGTTTCCTAAACAAACTTTCCGAGATGAAACAGTGTTGCAAAAACCAGTTGACGTGACGTTATTCCCAATGCCGAAACTTGGTTGACGACCAGCATTCTGGAGTCATATCACCTTTATGCCATCTGATGCTGATAAGACTGCATTGCCATACGAGAAGTGATGATCGCGGTGGTGAGCTGCTTTATTTTAGCATGGAACCTCAATGGGAGCTAAGTAACTAAGATGTTGTTACCTCTGACTTATTGTGGTACCACGTAAAGTTGTCAAAACAGAAAATCGATTTGATCGGTATGGAGCGTCAATCTCCTTCATCCACGGACTCAACTGACGGAGGCTGCTGTAACCATGTGGCACATTCTGTCAGTGAAGTTCGCGTATGTCCTTATTTTGGATGAATGTGATTACTCATATAGGACTAAATAAATGAGACCGCTTTTAGCCGTCTGAGCTCCAATTCACATCGTTTAATTGAATCGTATTCACTTTTCTAAAGGAAATGCACAGGTTCGGAGTAGATCAGTTTCACTCAATCTTGGACAGAAGTTTACAGAAACCCGACCACCGTTTTCACAGTTCTTGCCGCCAGTAAGATACGCGTATACGGTGATCTCTTTTCAAGTCGTTCTTGAGAAGAAAGTGTTTTACGGACCAATCATAAAAGAAATTATTTTTGGTAAAATACTGGTCGCACAGAGACCACTATCCGTCACGTACCCCTGCTTCCGACCGCTTTCGTTTATGATCCCTGATGGTGTATGACTATTTCCCGTTCATCATGATGATTGCGATGCCGTAAACACGATTCGTGTTTCTCACAGAGGTGTCACGTGTGTCCATCGTGAATTCTTACAGNTTCTTACAGAGCAGACCTTTGCATCAACGTACCCGGTCGGTTGAGTGCGAGATCACTTGTAGTGTCATTCACACCGTTTCCTCTTTCTTCAAAAGTTGCCATTAGAACTGGTCACCTGTTTTGCGTTCGAACAGAAGCTCATTGCTATAATGCATCTTCCATATAGCCATACGTTTTTTCAGCCTTCAACTTGTGCTTGTTGGTGACGTTGTTTGCGACTGGATTAACTGGTCATAACTACTTAATCACACTAGTAATCTCCTCAACTGTGCTAGATAGCATTAGATCCACTTCGACGAAGTCAGTGTAGTAGCCAACAGCTATCTTTCTCACGGTCAAAAACATCCGAGGCCACTACCACCGTTTGACGCAGTTAATCTGACCCTGTGAGCATACACATCGGTTCTTCGTTTGCTGTTAGTCAAACAGCTTGCACATTTCTCAATCGGATAGTTCTCAGTTGTTTTATTTGCTTTCAGCTGCTCTCTCAATAGTAACCGGTGCATCAAATGCATCACGTTTCCTCGAATGAATTTCGAATCACCAACCTCGCCCTAAGAACAGTCAGCTTATTAGACAAGATCAATCAAACTTAGGAACTTACGAAAGAATAACAAAATTCATCAAAAGGTATAGTTTGATTTCTGTTCAACCGTGGCCTCTTGAAATCCCCACTCACTTTAATCCGCCATACTGTTGTTTCGACCTTGAAATACCTCAGGCGGGGGGAGCTAGTTCACCCGACAGGAAATAAGAACAGTTTCCAGTTTTTGCAACTGACCTGCGTCGGCTAGTGTGGCAAATGAGGAGATATTTGACTCAGACAAATCTTTTGCTCATTCTTTCACTTATGAAGACGTAATTGTACGGATTGAATTGTTCTTAGTGCTTGATGGGCTGATTTACAATCATGGTCAGTGGCCTATAATTCATGTATCATTGCGTTTGAGTTAACGAAATGTGATACCGATTGTATGACATTCATTATTGTGTAGGAGAACTTCGACCTATGTCCTTCAAAATACTACTAACCGGTTCGATTCTCTACAGTTGTGCGTTAGAATAGGACTGTGGAGAAATTCTTTTGTATCCCAGCTGGCTGGCTAGCTCCGGTAATGATGTCCACAGAACGACGCTGGATAGAACGACTCACTCAAATTCAATTTGTTCCCTTCGTCGAACTGGTGCTGATTTCGCCCGTAAACGTTTAGTTATGTGCATTATTGTTGCTGTTGTTGTTGTTGACATTTTGACTACATACTGGAAGGAAATGAAAAGACTACTACACTAGCAAAAGTCTACCATACAAGTAAGGAGTGAAAAAAATAAGAGTTTCACCACTGCAATCCGCAAGTATTTTTTCATGGTAAACCGATAACAGTTAGGAAGATTTAATAAATATCATTCTAGAAGAGTTTATTATTTGTTCAGTTACAATTTCTTGATAATTAGCAGTTTTTGGATCTCCTATAT